GTAGTTAACTCTTTGGTGCCTGCTATCTTTTAGCTGACAAGAAGCACTGGCAAATGACAGTAAAAGGAACAAGCAGCAAATGAATGCTAACAGAAAAATTAGAATGATTTCTTAAAACATTTTATGAAAGACCTGTACGCATAATATAGTAATATATTCTGATAATAAATTACCCCAATTTGTAATTATACTGTATTTCTCAAAGAGCACCATAATTTCCTACTGCTTCATTATTGAAAAAAGTTTAAGAACACAGGAGTGACCTGCTGAGTACAATACTCTTTCCTTGGCTCTGAAATGTTCTGCATTTGTAGTCAAGGAACTTAATCATATAATGGCAAATTACATTTTTTATAACTCAAACCTCATCTTCATAACAGATTCCTGATATCTAACAAGCATACAGTTAGAACATTCATAAAGAGTGTCTCTCCTAGGCTCAGTGTTTAAAGCTTTCTAGACAACACGGTGTTAAAGTAAGTCCTTTATGTCTAGCAGTTTCCAGCAATTTCAACCTTTTGGACCCACCAACAATTTATTAATAAGTCAGCACTAAACCAAAGATTCCTAAGGATGAAAAGTTTCAGTCACAAAGTCTGTATACTTTCTCTTTAGACATATTTGATGTTATGATACTTATTCACATTTCCCAGAAAACATAAATGCTATTTTAGGATTTAATGTAAAAGAGAGTGGAAAAAAAAGAAATCAGAGTCTGTGACTAGTGGGTCAAAGAGGACATGGGGCAGCAGAAGCAGGTATAACTGGATGAGAATGGGTCAGCTGGGACTCAGTATTACAAGGAACAGAAGCTCAGCTCAGTCTGGCCTGAACAAGAGAGAGAAAGAGAAAAGGGGAGGAGGAGGAGGCTGAAGCAGGGAAAGTGGGGATTCTTAGCAATTTATTACCTTCGGAAACTGCAGAGTCCAGAAATCTGGCTAGTTCCCAATGACACATACATTGTCACCCAGCTCAAGTACCAGGTATCTTTCTGTTCTGACTTCCCTGGTGTTGGCCTCACCCTCAGTTTCACATGGTGACCTCCTGCAGCTCTTATGTTAGCAAAACAGCTGTGGCCGTTCATACCCTCACAGCTTTCAGGAGCACCTGTGGAAGAGAAAAATAGGCTTCTTTTTCCCAGAAGCCCCAAGGAACATCTCTTTTACTTTCACTGGCTCTGATTAGTTGGTGTGCCATTCCTAAACCCATCGTTGTGGCCCAGTGGGAAGAGTATGCTAATGGCTTTTGTCAGTCAAGGCCCCTCCCCAGAGCTGGAGGTAGAGTCAGCCCCACCAGACTCTGGGATGGGGAATGGGGAAGGCTGTTTTCCAAAGGAGATTTGGGGTCCTGCTTCCAGGAGGACGAGGGGTATAAAATGTGGGACAACAAACAGCTGTGTTGTACAAGAGCTATGAGAAGTGACAACATAGAAGAAAGCCATCAGGGAGGAGATGGGCTGTTCCAGATAAAACAGCACAGCAATCAGATGCCCATACCTATCTCTGCAGCTTTTTAAGCATCCCTGAAATGGTTACAGTCCATCACAGATGTTCATAGTCATGACCCTGAGACATCTAGGAAAGATTAAATTATGTTTGATTTATAAGACAGGGAAGAAGTTAATAGAAAGGTTTGTGTGTGTTTCAATAAATAACAATGTTTTTAAAAGACTAAAACTAAGCCAACAGGAAAGTTCTTTTTACCATATCAAGTATTTTTTTTAATGTCTCGTGTTTCCTTGTGCCCCGTCTGAATCTAGCCATGTGTTTATGTGAAGTGTTTTAAAAAGCTATGTTTTAACTATGCTTGGTTTATATCTTAACAAACTAAGTTTAAGTTATTGATGAAAATATGGTTTTTGCTTTTGTCTAGAATGCATACACAGCCACAGCTATCAACAGCACCAACTTCTGCACCTCAGCAAAGGATGCCTTTGTCATTCTTGTGGAGAACGCTTTGCGAGT